ATATGCAAGTGCGCGTGTTTACGTGCGTCGCTTCCCATTTGCACTCCCTTATAAACCTATCACCGTCAGGGTGTCTAAAACCGCTGCAAAGGTCAGCTCATAATCACTCTCTTTAGCCTGTCTCACATTTTAATTGTTGGGCGGGTGGGAGCCCGCGCGCGCGCGCGCGCGCACACGCACAGCAGCCACCCAACCCCCCCTGTCATTATGGTGGGCACGGATCCCACTATGAATTGATGATGTCCTGTCTAACACCTCATCACTCCGCAGGACCTCGGGCCGTCTGAACGATCCATTTCCCAGTAGCACTCAACAGGAAAGGCGCACGCTGTGAGCTGCTTGATGAGCGGAAAATGAGCGTTCCTACCTGCGCTAATACTCCTAAAAAGTCATGGGAAATATGGAGAGGGGCATGGGATGGCGGCGGGAGACAGGCGGCGAGATTGGAACGACGGATGCAAGTGAAGCATCCATTGTGGCACGCGGTGGCAAGTCCAAAAGGGATTGGGGCTTTGCTACGTGTTGGCAAGTAATGATATCAGAGATGTGCGAGATAATGTGACGGAAGAGACCAAGTGAGTCTCGTGAATTGTTTTTGATCACCGTTAGAGGGATTACGTCCACGCAGAGAGGGGAGATGCATACGTCCTGATAAACAGATTCAAAGAGCTTGGCGCTGTGCCTCGTGCTTTATCCAGGCGATGAAAGCTTACAGGCGACCACGGTTTCTGGCCGTCTCTTGAGGGTTGATCGCAGCAACGACGGACGTGCGTCTCGAAGGCGGCATCAACGTGCAGTCTTCAGTTTTGGGCCTAAAAAAAAGTGAGCAATTATGAGCTTTTTTACACCCATTTGAAATGGGTTGCGTTGTGAGAAGCGACTTTTAAAGCAACAAATAAACCATATAGCAGATTAGTGGTTTGGAATAAAAGACTTATCATTGAAGCCACAACCAATAACAGAACTGTCAATCATTGTGATGGGCAGTTCTCAAGACCCGGATAAACCAACTCCAAGCCTATACATAAATGTCGTTGATGGGGCATTTCCTGACAGACTGACACGGGGGTGTCCGGCGTGGGTGACGCACACACACACACACACACACGCACACGCACACGCACACACGCACACACACACACACACACTGGGGTGAATACAGTGGCAAAAACACCGATCTGCTTTTGTCTCAGCCCATTGGAAGGAGAAAAAAAAAACCAAAACAAAACAAAACAACAGGTGTGAAAATGCGTGAGCAGTAGAAAAGAAGCTCAGAATGAGGTGTGTTATTCAGCCTCGCCACAGGGAGGCTAGGACAACTGGGAGACCGGGAGTCGACCCATTGTCCACACATGCCACACACACATTCATGCATGATTGAGAACTAGCAGGCCGTGTTGTAGCAAGGTTCAATCTGTTACAGCATTCACCCAAGGAAAGTGAAAATGAGTGCAAATTTAGGTTATTTTCTGGCGCTCCCGCTCGCCGCCTCGCACGTATCCAGTCACCTTCGGCCGTGATGGGTATTCATTCCACACCTCGCGCTATATGCCAGACCGTAGAAACACTCATTTGGAATTCCTTTTTGCACAACTTGTTTGAATTTCTCATTCAAAGTTTGGGGGTCATTCTTCAACTATGCACCATGATGGCCTGGAAACTTTTGGACAATGCGGTACATTCGGATGGCATCTCTTTCTTCATCGTGTGAAGGAACAATTTGGCTCTCTCGCCGAGAGGAAATGAGCATTTGTTAATGCTCCGATGAGGTTTAAATATGATTACATATAAATCGGAGTCGGGCGCCACGGTGCTCGACTGGTTAGCACGTCCGCATCACAGTGCAGAGGTGGGGGTTCAATTCCCTCCTGTGTGGCGTTTGCATGTACGCACAGTATCTCACCTCTTGTTAGAAGCCAGCCGTTACCCTTGTAATGACAAGCAGTGAAGAACTTTTTTTTTTGCCGACGATATGTCGGGTAGACTTGGCGACGCTATGTGCTGTAAGAGGCTAATTCTTACTGTTGTCAAAAGATGTTTAACAGTCAATGACCAAGGGATTCCTCATGAAACTTTAAATCCAATATGGATTTGCCATTTCTCCACAAGGTAAAATCGACATGAGGGAAAGCGCATTGGTTTAAATAATAAATTGCAAATGGCCACATAGATTGTGTTAACACGGAATGGAAATCATTATTAAAGTGCCACGTGTAATATTTTGCACGCACGCTGCGTTTATTAGTGAAGCAGGGCCCCTCATTTTAGCAGTCTGCACTCATGCATCATATCCATATCTCCTGTCGCTGCTCTGTACCAAGTACAAAGTGGGGACATGTAACGCATCTGTTTGCTTTGAAAGGGAAAAGTTGATAAGGTTTGATAACGATACAAAGAGTGACTGTAGAAAGTGCCGTCATTTGTTCTTCATGTAGCACCTTCCAGTGTCACAAATCAAAACTCCAAACCAGAGGCGCTCACCGTTTGTCTCCAGGCATTTTGATCATTTTGCTTCATGTTTCAAAGGCGATACAGTATTGTTAAAATGTGTCACCGGCGCTTGGCAAATGTGACACTTGGGGGAGAAAAAAAAAAGTATCGCGCACTGATGAAGGCGTTCATTGTTGTTGGAGTAAACCAGGTCTGTTTGTTCTCATTGCAGGCTTTGCTTTCACTCCCTGCCAGGTGGTCGGACGCTTTGCGGAGGCAAATACACTTTAGAAATGTTAACTTTTATCAGCTAACGAATAGGTTTTTGTGAACTCCAAACGAAACACGATGAAGCCATGCAAATAGGAGCCAACGGGTACAGGAGCCGTCCACCATGCTTTCAAATTGCTTGAAATAACGACGTCTTCGCTTACAGTACGCCGAATGGCCCTGCAATTTTGCCCTGTTCAAAATAATATTCTGCCATTTGATAAAAGTAAAGTGTTCACAGGAAGGATAGAAATCCATTCGGAACAATATAGATCAGTCCATCAAATGATAGGAAAAACAAAATGGCAGTACAACAAGCCGACTTCTTCGAATTTCCCATCACAAAAAGGAACTAAAAACGGTGCCCCGTTTTTGGCTTTGTTCCATCGTGTGCTTTGGTGTTGTGCGTTCATGGTCAGCTGATTCATGAGCAATGCAAATGAGGAGACCAAATCACATTCAGATCAAAGTGAGAAAAAAAGCGGTCATGTCCATCGTAGCTCAATCGTCAACAATCAGGAGAATGTGAACGCGCGTGTGTGTATTTGTCAAATTCTGTTCATCCGCAGCCTTGGCTCCCAACCTTGCTCTAAGTACATCTCCGTGCGTGCAAACTGGAGCGCCGCAATGATAGAGGCGCCAAGGCCTCCCGTCGGACCGAGCCGTATCTGACCTTTAACCTTGAAATCTCCAGTCGGGTTTAATGATCCACTCCTTTCACACCCCAGAATATGTTAGCGTGGAAGCGTAGCCTTCCCCCACCTTAGCCGCAACAACTCTCGTAGCGCAGGAGAGTTGTCCGCCCGTATCTAATACAGTCTCGAAGCAAGCCGGTGACCTCCAAGGAGATGTTTGCAATCTATCGCTTTGCTCGCGCGCTCGCACCATTTTTCTCCTTGGAGCTCATTTGGGGACTTTGGGTTAAACACAAGACTCGGTGACCGATGCAAAACACCGCATGAGACACTTCTCCTTACGACACAATAGTCACGCATTTTTTTTTTTTTTTTTTTAATGGAAATGCAGTCGCTTGGACCATTTGTTGACACGAGCTAGTACATACCCGGACTCTACAGAAGGCACTATCTTTTAAATTAAAAGGAAGGGTGCGCCGGCTTATTAATGTGATCGATTCATTGTGCTAAAATGCCTCCTGTCATTACGAATTGCATTTAAGAACATGTTGGTGATCATAATCGTAATGCTAATTTCCACCGCTGCGCGACTTTTTATTTGCATATCGCAGCGGTTCATATTACAGCTCACATTAAGATGGAGGCCATTAAAGTCAAGGCAAACTAAATGTTAGTGAAATAGAGTGAACGGTGTATGGATTGTCCGTGGCCAGCTATTGGAGGGGAGGAAGCAATAGTCTCTTTTAATCAATGTGAGTAATATTTGTGTCTGTGAGCTGGGGACCCGCCGCATTATCATGTCAAGTTACAAATTAAAATGCCTGGCCGCTAACAGGCTGGGGATTTAAATGGGCCATCGTGGCCATCTAAGTGTTCTAATGACATTTTTTTTTCCACCCTGCCCGACAATTAATTCTATCCATCTGCATAACCTTTCCCAAAGCTCACAAACCAATGGCATTTTGACGGTCGGAAACAAATGCAGTCCGACGACAAAACTATGCACAGGCAATCGTGACGTTATTTAACAAATGTATAATTGGATTTTGATGCCCGGGCGTCTGCCTCTAGAGCACCAGCCCTGGCTAATTCAATAGGCTAAATGTAATCACTAGAAACACTCTGCAATCACGGCGGCATTAGAATGCTGGCGGCCGCCAAGTCAACACGGCTTTGCCGCTCTGTTGCCGTTTATCCGCGGGCCTCTCGGTGTCCGTCTCCCCATTTATTTCCATCGCCGCTCAAGACGTTTATTCTTTCATGCGTCGTTGAATGAATGTTGGGGTTGAGTTCCGGTTTTGGACCTCGAGTGAATTCGCCAAAAGCAATTTGGCAGAAAGCGAGCACTTCTAGACACATGAACTGCTCGCCTCCTCGCTTTTCATAAATTAGGGGTGGAAGGCTTCCATCAGACAGACTCTCTGAGGGATTGGGAAGGTGCTAAGCGCATCTGCCTTTAAGGGAGGTGCATGGGAAACAAAACAAAACAAAACCAAAAAAAAAAAATAGCAGACTAATTCATTAAGCATTGATCACCCCAAACGACAGCAAAGTGCTTCAACGTTTAGCGGGCAAATAACGGATAAATTGGCATGCGCATCTTGTACATTTCCAACTCTTTAATGGCTAAAGTACGGCACAAAAAGGCAATAAAACTCTTTGCAGACAAGCAGATGAACCCGCAGCCAGCCCATTACGCTGACCACTCCTTGCGGCTAAATACCCTTAATGTCTTAAACTGCGGGCGAGGGCTGCTCTCACGCTGCATTTTGGTGAGTGTTTCTTACTTTTTCAGAGAAATTACATGTCTTATTTGATTCCCTTCGATGCAGTTTGTAATAGGAGCCCCATTATGCAGTGCGCCAATGAAGCCATTACGAAGGGTCACGCTTAAAGTACCTGAGTATGTGTTTGAGTAAATGTGCTTCATCTTGGAAGGCCTAATATCATTTCGATCAACACCGCACCCTCTTTCCGCCTGCGAGATGAATACTGATATGACCTCATTATTGTGTTATCGTGGCTTGGACTGCGGGGCTGAGCAGGCGCGCGCGAGCGCGTATCAAATGTACGACTTACGGAGACACATAAGCATTCCAGACATAGGACTGCCGCCTGTTTATTTTGAAACAGGTTGAATGTGTTCTGCGCTGTCAGTCATATATGTAGGTTGATAAACTGCCGGTGAAATCATCTAGTTGTATGGAACGTGATATTCACTTCCATGAAAATGAGAGAAGGTGGTGTACGATTGACAAAGGACAAAGGGGTGTGACTCGTGTTGGTGAGCGAAAAAGAAGATTGAGCGAAAAGTCATTGTACTTTGCTGACAGTTTTCTTTTTTTCTTTAATACAACAGGCACCGTTGGAGATCAAAACTGCAGTCGAATCCACCACCTTTCCTGATCCAAATCCAAAATGCAGTCAAGTACTTGACTTTCTGAAGTTTTGAATCCAGAAGGGCATCAAAAGTGTCCATGTTGCTGTCAAGGTAAGGAAACCCATCTCTGATTTTGACGCGTGTACAATACCGGTTGAGTGGATGCATGGATTTTAGTCCAGAACCGTCCTTGACACTCTCAAAAGTCAAGACAGGTTCTCCAGCGCAACAACGAGGACACAGATGACAAATATCACAATATCATCGCGAGAAAAAAAATCTTCCTGCGCCGTCATCACGCTCTATTTGTCATGTCCCGTTTGCGACAGCAGGTGGCAGACGGTGTTTTCGGCCGGATGCACACCTGCTACCCATTAGAAATCAGGCACTGGCTTTATTAGGGCCGGCTTTCGTGTTTTCACTTGCCGGAGAATTGTTTGCCGTGCCACTGCTGTGCCCATTGTGTCGTAGTACCTTCTCGCATTTCGCCTTTGTGCGCTAGTTCGTATTTGGAGTGTGTATTCTCGGTGTGTATTATTATTGCAACTAGATTGTTTTTCTCCTTGCCTTCGTGCGAGCGTTTTTTGTTATTCGGTTTTTTCGTGCCTTTCCTGGTACTCGTTTTTGCCAGCGTTTTCTGTTGTCTCGTTTTTGCGGTGCGGTTTTTGTTAAATAAATCTTATTTTCATACGTAGTTCTTGTTGTTGTCTGCTGTTTCGGGAATCCTTTAGATCACCTAGGTTGCGAGCGAAGCGGGTTCCCTTCCGCTTTGTCCGCAACGTGACAGAATTCTCCGGCCACCCATGGATTCCGCAGACTTCAACAAGGTTTTGTCCTCCCTGACCCGCCAAGAACAATTGGTGAGTCAGCAGGGACAGGCAATCGCAGAGCTCCGTGACGCGGTCTCCATGTTGGCCCACCAGTTCGAGGGTTATGGGTCGCGACTGGAGCGCTTAGAAAACCGGAGGACACCTACTCCGGAGATCCCCCGTGCAACCACGGAGTTATCCGACCGTTCCCCGACTGGTGGTCGGGAGCCGATACTGCCACACACT